AGAGAAAGCACTGTAAACAGATGGTGGCGACGGTTATACAACATTGTTAATGTACTTAATGCCACAGACTTGCACATTTTAAAAGGGTTAAAATATAAATTTTTTGTTGGCATATTTTACCACAATAAAAAAAAATTAATGGATTGTAGACCTAAATGTAAAAGCTAAAATCATAAAACTTCTAGGATAAAATATAGGAGAAAATCAACACGACCTTGGGTTAGGCAGAACATTTAGATATGATACCAAAAACATGATCTGTAAGAGGAAAAAATGGTAATTTTGATTAATTTTGAAAATTTTTCATTTATGAATTTTGAGGGGCGCCTGGGTGGCTCAGATGCTTAAGCATCTGCCTTCGGCTCAGGTCATGATCTCTGGGTCCTGGGATTGAACCCTTCGTTGGGCTCCTGGCTCAGCAGGGAGTCTGCTTCTCTCCCTCTGCCTCTCTCCCCTGCTCATGCTGTCTCTGTGTGTGTCTCTCTCTGTCTCAAATGAATAAATTTTTTAAAATTATGAATTTTGAAAAATTATCAAAATTATTCAACTTTATAAAAATTGAAATGCATACTCTGAAAGACACGATAAGACAAAAAGCTAGGAGCGCCTGGGTGGTTCAGTCGGATAAGCATCTGCCTTCAGCTCAGGTCATGGTGTCTGAGTCCTGGGATTGAGCCCACCACATTGGCCCCCTGCTCAGCAGGAAGCCTTCTTCTCCCTCTCCTGCTCCCCATGCTTGTACGCTCACTCACTCACTCACTCTCTTTCTCTTTGTCAAATAAATGAATAAATAATAAAATCTTTAAAAAAAAAAAAGAAGAAGAAGAAGCTAAACCATAGACTGGGAGAAAATATTTGCAAACCACATTTCTGACAAAGGGTTTCTGCCCAGAATATATCAAGAACTCTTAAAACTCCGTAAGAATATAAATCATCCAGCTTAAAATAGGCAAAACATCTGAACAGTAAGAAAGATATATGAATGACCAAAAAGCACATGAAAGGATGCTCAACATTACTAGTCACTAGGGAAATGCAGATTAGAACCGCCAGGAAATACCACGACATCAAGAGTTGGCAAGAATGTAGAACAGCTGATGCTACCGTATATTCCTAGGGGGACTTCAAATTAGCGAAGTTCCTTTGCAATTTGGGTAACAACATGGCGGTTTCTCACAAGGCAAAACATGTACGTGCTACATACAGGCAGCAATCCCACTTCTAGTATCTACTCAAGAGAAATCTCTGTTCACACAGAAACTGTATAAACCCGATTGTTTATAGCAGCTTTATGCATAATCACCAGAAAGGGAAACTGTGAAGATCTAGCAGATAAGTGGATAGTGTGTGATACATCCTACAATAGAATATTACTCTGAAATATGAAGGAACAAACTACTGCTTCAGACAATAACATGGATAAATCTTAAATGCATTTTACTAAGTGAAAGGAGCCAGACACCCCCCCCCAAAACCTACATCTTGTATGATTTCATTTATAGGACTCTGGAGAATGTGAACCTATAAGGATGGAACAGTGATTTCTAACATTGGCTTAGGCTGGAAAGGGGTTAATCATAAAGGGACAGCATGAGAGAAATTTTCAGGTGACGGAACTGTTTGGAGTGGAACCATGGTAGTAAATACATAACTCTCTGCATTTGTCGAGACCTACAAAACTGTGCTGTACAAAGTGAATGTTGCTGTATGTAAATTAAATAAAATCAACCAGGATTTGGGGGTGGGGGATGAAATGCAGGCAGTTACCAGTGAACCTATGTTACAAATAAATCAAATAACCACATTGAAGAGGCTAGGAAGAGCGGACCTAGATAATTTCCCCGGGGGAGTGGGGAGGGCGGTGCGGAGTGTTTTGACTGGATACATAAGGATACACACACACACACACACACACACACACACACACCACACACAAACTATATAATTACAAACATTGTGTTCTAGTTGGTAAATTTGTTTCCCCTGTTATGGTTTAGCAATTGTGGAATTACTTTATATGTATACTAGAGATGAGCAAAGAGGTAAATATATTGTAGAAAATGAGAGCAGGTTTCCTTGAGGAGAAAGAAATGACAAATATGAAAAGGGGGAAGACAGGTGGTGGTGCTGAATCGGAACCAGGGGGTATTGGTGTATTTATGGCTTTGTTTAATATATATACAGATAGACGGGTATGGAAATAAATACAGATGTGTGTTATGTGTGGCTTAGTGTATATGCAGACAGACAGAGGTGTATTTCCTAGCTCTATCCACTGGGAAGGACTAGAAGCAGTGCCAACCCAACAGTGATGGGCATGCCAGCACTCAGACCTAGGCTTTCACTCTCCTTGGGAAAGTGTTTGATGCCTGTGGCGCCAGAAGGGAAGAAAGGGATCAAACAAATAAAAATAAAAGGCGGGGCACACTTCAATAGGGCACAGCAGTGAATCTGAATGAGCTCCCATAACCAAAGCTGGAACTTGAATAGCAAAATAATGGTAGCACTGTGTTGAATAAAATAAGCCTCCCTGATCCCTGTGAAGATAAACAACTGAATAAACAAACAAATAGGGGAAAGGGACCACTCTCTCCCACAAAAGAATTCCAATCAGGAAACATAGGAGGACTGTGGGAAACAGAAAATCACTATTGAAACATGACCGTAATAAGGGTTGAGGCAAGACCTCAGTAAGATCACGGATGCTATAATTATTGGGCAGAATAAATAAGGTATTGGGCAAAATGTTTAAGCAGAAATAGGATATTTACATAAAACATCTCCAAAATATGTAATAATTAGAAAGGGGAAAACAGTAATTTTATAGTAGGTAAATCTGGCAGATACCACCTTGACCAAGACAACAACGTAATACATATTGACATCATGTGTCCCTGATATGTGCTGCGAAGGGCATATAGGGCATATCCGCTCTGGCACCTTTCCCAGTAACCATGACAAAACACCAGACAAACCCAAACTGAGGGACATGCCACAAAACATCTGAGCAGGACTCTTTAGAAGTGTCAAGGTCATAAAAGACAGAGACATAAAAGACAGGCGCCCCTTAAATATTTCAGAATTAAAACTTTAAAAAAAGGATACTCTATGGGGCGCCTGAGTGGCTCAGTGGGTTAAAGCCTCTGCCTTCGGCTCAGGTCGTGATCCCAGGGTCCTGGGATCAAGCCCTGCATCGGGGTCTCTGCTCAGAGGGGAGCCTGCTTCCTCCTCTCTCTCTGCCTGCCTCTCTGCCTACTTGTGATCTCTGTCAAATAAATAAATAAAATCTTTAAAAAAAAAAAAAAAGGATACTCTGGGGCACCTGGGTGGCTCAGTCCATTTAGTGTCTGCCTTCAACTCAGGTCATGATCTCAGGATCCTGGGATAAAGCCCCTCAAGGAGCCCACTTCTTCCTCTCTCCACCCCCTAACTCATGCTCATTCTCTTGTTCTCAAATAAATAAGTAAAATCTTTAAAAAAATAAAAAGAATACCCCTCAGTAATAAACTTTTAAAATAACATATAAAAAGAAGTTGCAGATAGATTTTATGATATTAAAAAAGAAAGAAAACTTTAAAATTATGGTTCTTGAACATTTTTATTTCTCCAGAATACTCTTTCCCCCAAATAAATAATTGCTGTCCACCATCATAAAGAGAAGCTCTGATTAAATCACGCTCCTGTTCAAAAATCTTCATTGGCTTCCCATTGACTTTCCACTGCATTGAATCTATCCCTGAAGTTGCTCTGTTATCTGTTGCCTCCCTTTCCCCTGCTACTCCCTGCACCCTATACTCCCCCAAACTCACCTGGGACTCTGCTGCTTCCTTTATTCCGCATTCCTGGAAATGCCTCTGGCTAGGACGCTACTTGCCCAGAGCCCACAAATGCTCCCCAGCCTGAAGAAACCCCTCACCTTCCCTTGAACTCAGTCTCCCTCATGACCCTAATCAATTTCCAGTAACTGCCTGGTACCTCTGCCCAGTGGCTATTTAGGGTGCTGTCCTCCAAATTTTCTAAGTCTCTCTTTGTGCATGAGACCACGTGGTGCTGTCCAGACAGAGCACCTAGAGTTTAGACCAGGACCAACATACTTTCCAATCCCCTATTTTCTCCTTTAAGGATACTTCCGTATCCTCTGCGCCAGCATGGGAGTATACCAGATGCCCAAAGAGTCTCCAGGACACATGCTTACCAATTCATCCTAGAAGCCAAGCACTCCCCCTGGTCTGCTTGGTGTTTCTTTCAAGGAAACACATGATATTGAACCACGGGAGAATGGTGTTGCCATGCTGATTTAGGGTGACCCAGATTTGTTTTATGAACGGCAGCTCTGCCAAAAATGTTTGTGCATGACCCTTACACCCTAGGGGTAGCTGTGTCAATTTCTGTCTTGTATGATACTTGCCCTGAAAGGTCTAGTCCATAATGATGTCTGTACCCCCTCCCCACAGTGGTTGCCTACCTCAGTGTCTCGTACATAATAGATGCTCCCTAAATCTTACAGAATGAATCCCTGAAGGAATGAGTAACATCTCAGATATACATGTTTCTTTTGGTCCAAGATTCTAACTACGGCTTCTCTAAACAAATTCCTAGATTGTCGTCATTCTTCCGAGTGGCAAAGAGGGATTTCCAACATCCCCCAGCCCTCCAGTCACTGACCTGACCATTGATGTGCTGAAAGCTTATCAAGAAGGAACAAACACGCCTCCAGATTCTCTTGAGAGTAAACTGCAAGTGAACTTCAACTCCAAGGCATGTGAAAACAGCCCAGCATGTGAGTGATGGTTGGGTGGTTTCAAGTTAGGTAGCCCGGTAATTTGGATTGAACAGTGCTTTGGCTGCAACAAATTGTGGTGATAGAACATATGTTTCCCGGGCTTTGCTTTTGATCTTCTGCTCCAAGGTTGAGGACACTCTCCCGAGGGGGAAAGAAAAAAGGAAAGAGAACTGGGTGGAAGAAGACGGACTTCACCCATCATTGAAATATTTCGTACCTGAAGCACAACCACCTTGAGAGAAGAACATGGTGGCCGCTCTTCACAGTCACCTGACTAAGGGCCTTGGGCTTGCTCCTGCCCTGGAGGGAAATGCACCACCACGGAGAGGCCCGCCCAACAGCACCAGCACACTCACAGCCAAGCCTGGGCTCGGCCCCCGCAGACATATGAGAAAAGAGGGCCTGCCAGAGCCACCAAGAGGGTGGGAGGCTGGCTGCTGTTGCCAGGTCCACCCGCATGGATCACAATGACTGCATGAGGTCATGGAATGTTGAAGAGGTGAGAGGAAAGCGGCTCCTGAGTCACAAAGTTGCAGGCGGATGGGCATCCTTTCGACCAGGCTCCCAGGAATCGGGCTGTACCACTTTCCCTGATGTTCTGGGGAAGCAGCGACTTCTCCCAGACAGAGTTGGGGTCCACTCCATGCCTGTCCTGTTCCCACCACAGCCCACTGTCCCCAGGGCTTGCTGGGATGGAAATATAACTCCAGGCCCCCCTGGGATTTATCTGTGCGAAGGGCAGGGTGCACAGACTTTGAGACAGAAGTGAATGGACAGGTGTGCTTCTTAGGGGAGCAGCAGAGAGGTGGGGAGAAGCTGACAGCAGCCACCAGGAGGGCCCTGGAACCATGGACAATGATGAGCCTCTTGAGCCTGAGACACAAGGTGAACAGGCATCCTATCTCTCATCTCTCAGGCCCTTCTGGGCTGTCTCAGTGTAATTCCCAGGGATAACATGGACCCCGAAGCCCCCTCCCCTCCTCTTGCGGGACCTCTCCTCTAGAAGCGGGATGGAGTATCACAGTGACTTGGCTTCAGGGCTTCTCAAACAGGGAGTGAGAGAGTTGGATGTAATGATCTGCTGGAATTGGCTTGTCCTAGCTCCCGCTGATTTTCTTTTTCATTCTGTCAAAGAATGGGTAGAATACAAATACGATCTGTAGTGGAGGTACTCAGCCATGTTGGGAATATTTACACCACCCAAATTGGCTCATACTATAAATCAGGATTCCACACCCCTGCCCTGCCTTGAGAGCCAGTTAAACATCTACGAGCATTCTACTCATTGGATGGAATTCTCAAATTGTAGGACTAATGAGGATATTAAGACTCAGAAAGTCATCACTTTTCGATGGCTGAGTTTGATGGCTAAGCCGCTGTATGTCTTCCAACTGCTGGGCTATGGCTCCGTCCACCCCTTATCATGTAGACCTTGTCTTACCCTCTTGGAAATAAACACTGGAGCTTGGGTTTATGGATAAGGACTAAGAAAACACAGACCTGCATGGATTCATTAGGAACCCACTATCTTAGAACCTAGGGGGTTAAAACTTGGGACCACCAGCACAAATGCTCAGCCCACCCAAAGAGTATATTGGCCAAGTTCTGATGGGCTCCTGGTGGCAGAGCATGGCTCCCCAAACACTGCATCCCAGAGAGGTGGGATGACTAGCTCTGGACCCTTGTGTGAGGTTTTCGGGAACCCATGCTGATCCCAGATCAGTGGTCCACTGGCAGAAAACCCATGTCCAGCGAATGTAGGGACTGGTGGGAGGAAAGCAAAGGGCATAGATACGTACTCAGTAATTAATTTCAACCCCAGCAAGATTTTGCAAGTCCTTCCTTCTTCGTGGTCCTAAAATGCTGGATTGGAAGGGAAAGAAGCTAGGTCAAGTTTTTAGGAATCAAGTTATCCTTCTTTCTCTTTGGGACTGTTCCTGTACCCCCTCATTTGACATTTGACCCAAGTCGCCTGCCCTACCCTGCCCCGCCCCGGGCCTTCCTCAGCATGGCTTGTGCCCGCCAATGAGGAAGCCTAGGCATCGGCACACATCCTCTCCCGGGAAGAGTGAAGCAGACGCTGAACCCCACCCAACCCAATGAGAAGGAAAAGAATGAGCAAGGAGCCAGTCTCCGAGATGGGCCCAAAGCAGGGAACCCGGCAGGAGCGGGGCGGGTGTTCAACACAAGACCCTGCGGGCCATCAGGGGGCAGCACTGGGTCCGGGAGGGGTGGCCCGTGGAACGGAGCCCCTTGGCGGGACTGAAGGCACACTGCAGTTCCACGGCACCCCGAGCCCGGTGAGGCTGGGGCGTCAGAGGCTGTGGCCCGGACCCAGGACCGGCTGACAGAGCAAAGGAGCGCAGGTCGGGCTCCATGTGAAAGGCCCACAGCTTTCATTCCCAGCATCAGGAGATGAGTTTTTCTTCCAGATGAACCCGAAACAGACCCAGCGCCACAGAACAGCGATGAAACCCTTTACTGTGAGGCCGAAGCGTCCGTGGGTGTGGATAAAGACAAGGCTGCCCGGGAGAGCTCAGAAACAGACCTGGAGATCGAAGGTGAGAGGGGGCCCTGGGTGCGTGGGGTGGTGGTGCGACCCCTTCCGCAGGAGCTGGAGGCTCTGCTCTCCGGGGTGGGCCATGGCTCTGGCCGGAGGGCCGTCCTGCACAAGGAACGGGGCAGCAGCCTGGGGTCCTCCTCGAGGCCGGCCCGGTGCCGCAGCTGTAGCTGCCCTGTGCTCGTGGCCTCCCCGGGGAGCAGAGCAGTCACATCAGCTTGTTGGAAGCCAAACCCATACACGAATGGGGATTTCTGGCTTTCTCAAGGTTTCCGCATGCGGCATCTTCTGTCATCTTGGCTAGCGTCCCAGGAGGTAGTCTTATTAGCCGCCGTTTAAAGAGGAGGAAGCTGAGGCTTACGGAGATTGTGTGAGTTGCCCAAGGCCAAGGAGAGCTGCTACCATTCCCAGATCCCCTGTCCGCCCCCCCCTGCTGATCTGCTTTCCGGCTACGTATTGTGGGGTCCCCGGAGTGTCCTGTGGCCCACCTTGCCTCCTGGTGGCTTTCCTCTCTACTCACATTCAAGGTCTCGGTTCTCCTACTTGAGAGTTCGCCCTGGACAGAATGAGTGTGCCTGGGAGGGGGGCGGACGGAGAAGGAGGGAGCTCTCTGAGCTGCAGCAAGGCCTCTGTTATCGCAAATGCCTTTACCCTCTCCCTCTCTGTTTCCCCAAGCAGGGAAGTGCCCAGAACCCTTGTGTAGCAAGGTGAGCTCCGCGCTCACCCCACTGATGGGCTAGCCTCAGGCTGGAAGTCCCAGCCTTCCTCTCCTGTGCTCTGGCCTCCGGGTCAGCGAGTTTGTAAACCTCCCCACCCACGATCAACACACAGCTTCCCCTCCTCGCACGCCTCCTTCCTGACCCCAACCCCACCCCACGTCTTGTTGCTCTTTTTCCGACTTCTTTCCATGTCCAGACGTACTGATTAGCATTTTCATCATCAGTACGCTGATGTACTGATGTTTTCGACGTGGAACTTTACCTGGCTGGAGGGGGTGGCAGATAGAAACTGGACGTTTTCTCCCATTTTCCTGTTTTCACCCCATTCTTCTCCCCCACCCCCCAACTCCCCACAAGAGATAACACTGTTGCAAGCTGCCTCCGAAATACAGTGCCGGTTGGTGCCTGACGGGCTCAGTCTGTTCAGCGGCTACCTCCGGCTCAGGTCATGGTCTCGTGGTCCTGGGATCGAGCCCTGAATCGGGCCCCCCATTCAGCGGGGTGTCTGCTTCTCCCTCTCTCTCGGCTGCTCCCCTAGCTCATGCTCTCTCTCACTCTGTCTCTCAAATAAATAAATAAAATCTTTTTGAAAAATCAGATGAGGGGCATCTGCGTGGCTCAGCGGGTTAAGCCTCTGCCTTCGGCTCAGGTCATGATCTCAGGGTTCTGGGATCGAGCCCCGCATCGGGCTCTCTGCTCAGCAGGGAGCCTGCTTCCTCCTCTCTCTCTCTCTCTGCCTGCCTCTCTGCCTACTTGTGATCTCTGTCTGTCAAATAAACAAATAAAATCTTTTTTAAAATAAATAAATAAATAAATAATTTTTTAAAAAATCGGATGAAATCCCACCCTAGTGACTACAGCTAGAAAGGGTCAGCGGAACGAAACACAGCAGATTAGTGCCAAGGACAAAGGTGGGGCTTACCGACCCTGCCGTGGCAGACATCTCCAGTGGCACCTGTGCTGTGCTGGGACAGAAACCCAAGGCCCAGCTGCTCTGGCTTCTCATGTCCCTGCCTCGGGGACTGAGGTGCTGGGAACAGGGCGGGGAGGGCTTCCGGGCAGGCCCGAGACACGAGCCCGGGTGCAATAGCAAGCTGGCAATGAAGCCACGGAAGAGGGAGAGAAAGCCGGACAAGTTGTCACCTGCCACATGCCATTTGTCCTATGCGGCAGTGGTTGTCACTCGGATGCGATCTTGTACCCCAGGGGACATCTGGCAAACGGGGCCGGGGCAGGGTGGAGGATGCTACTGGCGTATCACTGGCGGAGGCCAGGAATCCTGCTAAATATCCTTCAAGGCACACTACAGATCCTCGCACCCGAGAATTAGCCGACTCCATTCTCTCGGTAGTGCGGAGTTTGAGAGACTCTGCTCTCCAGCCGTCCTAAGGAGAAGGCCAGTTAGGAGCTGTGCCTGCAAAGTCAACTTCCTTGTAGGGTTGTCCTTTCACCAACAAAGCTCTCATTGTCTGCTCCAGAAATGTCCGGGGTAGGTTGGACAAAGGCCCTGGCATCCGAAGGAAAAACAGATGCAGGCTTTAGATCCCGGCGGGCCGTGGGAAGCCTTGCCATCGAAGGGGCTCACTTAATGAGGGGACAGCTGCGAGGGCGTACGGAACCCAGGGAGGCACACTGCCCGTCGACCACAAGCCAGGCCGGTCTAAAGCCCAAGAACAAAGACCCCAAATGGTTAGAATGGAAAGATAAATCGCTGTATTCTGTTAGCTGGTTTTAGCTCTGATCAGCTCTGTGTGATTTGGGGCTAGATTTGTCCTTGGTAAAGGAGTCATGACTGTCCTTTTTGGGAGGAAAAATGACATGCAAGTCTCTGAAAGAGGAAAGACCCCTCAAATACAAGTTTGTTCGTTTCCAGCTGATTTGGGGTGAGGGGCGTCTCTCCACCTTGCACTGATTGGTCACCTTGAGACGCCCTCTCAGTCCTGCTTGGGGATTTTAAAGTTGGAACCTCTTGAAATCTTTAGTAAAGCTTCCCTTGTGGCTCTCATTTCAACCATGGTCGTGAAACGAAAACTGAATGAAGGCTGCCCATTTCACAAATGAGCTTCTTGTCTGTTTGGCCTTTCAGAGCTGTCCCACGGTGGGCAAGGGAGCTGGGCCTTTGTGCATCCTTGATAATCAGTCCCGGATGCGGGCAACCCGGGAAGGTGGATGTGGGCCACACTTCTTCTCCTAGAAAACTTGGGGCCTAGAACCAGGGGCCTTGTCTCTTCCCCAAAGGGACACGTCCATCTGGGGCTTTCTGAAGTTCAGGTCTCTCTCTCCCACCTCCGGCTGCCTTTGCGATTGGAGCCGCCCTCTTGCGCACACACCCACAGGGACATCCACAGGCAGAGGGGACACCAGGCAGAAGCACACCGGGCCCCGGGGTTAGAGTAGAATAAGGCAAAGGGAGAAGAGAATCCCCACTTCATTCATTTGCATCTTTTTGTGTAGATACGGAGAAATTTTTCACCACTGGACAAAGGGAGCTCTACCTGGAGGCCTGCAAACTGATGGGCGTAGTGCCTGTCTCCTACTTTCTCCGGAACATGGAGGAGTCCTACATGAACCTCAACCACCATGGGCTGGGCCCCAACGGTACCAAGGCTATTGCTATAGCCTTGGTGGTAAGCATGACAATGGGGGAACATGGAGACTGGTAGAGGTGGGGGTTGAAGGAGTGGGGGGGCCCAAGACTCAGAGAGATCCTCCAGGGGACCTTAGATTGCGAGCTTTATGCCCACCCTACCCCAGGCTCTGCTTGACTGCCAGTTGATTTACCTCACAGACATGTGTGCCCCACTGGCTCCTGGAAAGGGGGCTACTAGGGACCGTGGCCTTGGAAGCCTATGATCTTTCTAATTCAGGAAGCAAAGGCCAACAGCCCTGGGTAAGTGGCCGGGCTGGGCACTCATGCAAGTGCATAATACGAAATGTCAGACTGGATCTCAATTCCAAAGCTCACCTTTGCTGTAAGTAGGTTCACTACTGAGCTATTGTATTCAGTGTTTGCCTTTTGCAACATTATAATTCTTAAAAGATCACACTGTAGAGTAGATCATGTTTTCCCACAGGAATAATTCTCTCTCTCTCTCTCTCTCTCTCTCTCTCTCTCTCGGCTCGACATGAGCAACCAAGGACTTGACCTTGAATTCGTCCTGGCTTTATATAATTATAATTGATTGTATACAAACCACCTTGCATCCCAGAAAAACAGAACACGTGACGACTGTAGGTCAGCACAACACTGTTCATTTAAGACAGTAAAGGGAAAGTTTGATTAAAAAAAAAAAAAGGCACTCACTCCTTTTGGGAACTAGAACAGCATTTACGTTTAGCACGTGTCCATTGAGAGGCTACATGAAATGTGAGATTGTGCTGCTTTCTGGGGGGGAGGGAAGAGGGGAAGAGCAGAGAACGAAAAAGCCGTCTCAAAATTTATTGAGTGTTGAAAGACTGATGAATGAGGTGTTAGGAATGCACCATGACCTCATGAGTTTCATGGGGGAAAAAAAACAGATAATAATGCAATTCTCTCAGGACTTGGGCCACTTATCTCTTAGTAACAAGTTTCCATTTGGGGGGGAGTCTTCTGTTCTCTGATTCTCTGTGTCCCTAATTTGACAGTTAATCACTGTGACATGTCGGCGGACTGAACTGCTCTTTATCTTTTGTACCATTCAGCTTCGCACATGTTGTGTTTTCCTGGCTTAGCTTAAAATCTGTCTGACAGTAGTGGTCGTGTTTCATGGGCCTCGTCCCTCCCTCCCTTGCCCGCCTCCGCGCCCTTGGACTTGGTGGGGTGCAGAGGTGTTCCCTGCTCTCTCGTGCTTGTTTCCCCAGCAGTGGGCACAAAGAGTAACCAGTGGCTACTGGCCTGGGTGAGATGAATCTGGATATGCCTTGGGTCGGGGGCTGTCTCCTGCCCCCCACACCGTGCTGCACCAGGACCCCCGAGGTGTGGAAGGGGGAGAAGAGCCAAGAGTGCTGCTTAGAGCGGACCCCTGGCCCTCTTGCTGTGAGTCCCTTGCTCTGACCTTGCTGCCTGTGGGCATGCCGACTGGCTTGGATGTAGATATTTAAGACTGAAGTCCAGGTCCTTCCAAGCAGCCCTGGGGCCACGTCCTGACGAAAGAGACGTGCCAGATAAGCCAGAGCCTGAGCAAGACCTCTGGAGGAAACGCCTTCTGTTTCAGTACGGGATTAAATGCATCAGTTTCTCCCTAATCTTAGAGTAGGTCACAGCTTCTCTCCTCCAGGCTAAATAACTACACTCTGTGTAGCTCATCCCTGTGCCCCGCATTTTTCAGGGACTTCATCGTTTTAATAACCCCTTTCTAAATTCCCCCGCAGAGCCCCCTTTGGTGGAGGTGCCCAGAATAAGCATACCGTCCCAGCACACCTCGGCGGGATGGCTTGTCCCCGGGCATCCTCCTGCTCCTGTCCGTTCTCCAGAAGTGCCGGCCTGCAGCTCTGTGCCCTCTGAAAAGGCCAGAATGTTAAGGGAAAGGACAGGCGCTGGGCGAGGGCAGGGAACTGATCGGGTCACCAACTCCCTCTTTCTCCCCCTCCTCTTGTGGCGACCGAAGTCCAACACGAGTGTGATCACCCTGGAGCTGGCAGACAACTGTCTCCTGGAGGAGGGCCTCCTGAGCCTGGTGGAGATGCTGCAAGAGAATTACTACCTGCAGGAGATGGTACTGTGGCCCCTTTGCCGGCTCCCATCCCCGCACCGGGGCTCTCGACACCACCTAGGATGGGCCAGAGATCCCCTCCCCGGCCCCGGCCAGCCTCCAGCTTCCTGCGATGGGTCTGGAGGCCCCTCTCCTCCAGAGGTGACTTCTCAGAGGAGGGCCGCGCGTCAGAGGCTGGCCGGGAGGTTGTGTTCCCCGTGGCCCAAGGAAACTCTAAGAAACTAGTTCTGTCTGGACCTCTTAAGCCCCTCCACAAAGTCGCTTTAAAGTGAACTTAGAGAAAATAAAGGCACGAAATACTTCCTTCAAACACAATGTGTCTGGAGACAGATGATGGCAAGGGTTGCATAAGCATGTGAACATACTTCAGACCACTGCACAGTACCCTTAGGAATAGTTAAGACGGTAAATGTTGTGTTATGTCTAGTTTACCATAATTTAGAAATGGGGGAAAAAAGAGGAGGAGCAATTAAGATCATAAGGGCTGGTTTGTATAAAGGTCCCTCCCACAAGCCCTAAAGGACTGTGTCCATTTGTATCCCTGAGTGTTCCTGGCACAGTCATTCATGTTTCACAAATCAGTGAATGAAATTTACAATGATGAATTACTCTGAAGGAATCTTTCAATTGCTTTATGCCGAACTCTCCTAATAAAGCTGTCTTAGGTTTCAAAAAAATGTACAGTAAGTTTATCTAAAGTACTAGGGCTGAGGCGCCTGGATGGCTCAGTTGTTAGGCGTCTGCCTTCGGCTCGGGTTGTGATCCCAGGGTCCTGGGATCGAGTCCCACCCTGGGCTCTCTGCTCGGCAGGAAGCCTACTTCTCCCTCTCCCACCCTCCCCTGCTTGTGCTCCCTCTCTCGCTGTGTCTCTCTCTGTCAAATAAAATAAAATCTTAAAAAAAAAAAACCTAAAGTACTAGAGCTAAACCAGAGAAGTGGGGAGTCACCAAAACTGACCAGAGAAAACTGAGACCAGCAGGCGGGCCTCCCAGCCAGGTGTTAGGGAAGTTGAATTCTCATCTTCCTCTGCTCCTTTGCTCTTCCCAATCCTTCCTACCCTTTCTCCCCTGCCCCTCTCCCCACCCAGCCCTACTCCCTAGTGAAGGTCTTGAGTAAGCCTTTCCTGGACACCATTTGTTAATGAGGGTGCTTGGGTGGCGTATTCAATACACACATAAGGGTGTTCTTGCTTTTTAGAATGTTTCCGACAATGATCTTGGCTTGAAGGGGGCCAGAATCATCTCAGAATTCCTTCAGAGAAATATCTCTTCACTCTGGAACCTCCAGCTTTCAGGTGAGCCCATGGAAGACAAGGCAGGAGAGGACAAGGGGATGAAAAGGAGAGAAGGGGTAGAGCAGAGAATCCAGGGTCTAACTGAGCCAGACCAGGTTCCAGAACACTGTGTCTGCACCCTGCTAAGCCCTCTGGTCGTACTTTCCCCTCCCCGTGGCCACACTGGCTTCCTGGCTCTCCCAGACAAGAGACTTCTGACTCCCTTGGCAGCACGCCAGCCTCCTCTTAAAAAGTCTCTACCCGAGGTATCTGCATGGCTCATTCTGTTGCTTTATTCATGCCTCTGTTCAAATGTCCTCTCACTACAGGGGACTTCCCTGACCTCCCCTCCATCTCCATCACTGTCCTGTTTCCCTGCTGGGTTTTTCTTTAACAGCATTTATTGCTACCTGATCCCCATTGTACACTCAGTTTGTAATTAGTCTGTTATCTGTCTCTCTCACAGAAGAAAAACAAAACAAAAAAAACCCCCACAAAACTCCTTTGAGAACTCTAGCACCCACAGACTTGTCCTCACTCAGGTTTGTGGTTTGGGTTTATATTATCTTCAGGGTCCTGGAACTTAACCTAAGTGGTCCCTTGCTGTAATGCCCTGGGGTATGCAACAGGAACAAAGAGAACACCCCACTGGGGGAACAATCCCTTGACCGAGGCTCCAGGCTGTTTGGAATTCTCACAGATAAAGCTCCACTAAAGATGGGCTCACAGTCCAAAAATGCAAAGCAAGGGAACGAAACACTGTGAGAGCTGTCCGATTCTAGTAAGTGGCAGCATCAAGAACTTGAGAAAAGAGAATTATTAGAAATTGGGGTGCCTGGGTGGCTTAGTCGGTTTAACGTCTATCTTCAGCTCAGGTCATGGTCCTGGGGTCCTGGGCTGGAGCCCCACATCAGGCTCCCTGCTCGGTGGGGAGCCTGCTTCTCCCTCTCCCTCTGCCCCTCCCCCACTCACGCATGCTCTCTCTCTCTCTCTGTCTCTAAAATAAATAAATAAATCTTTTTTAAAAAGATAAAGAAGAAGAAGAAGGGGATCATGCCAGGGGCACCTGCTGGCTCAGTCAATAGAGCATGCAAATCTTTATCTCAGGGTCGTGAGTTAGAGCCCCACATCGGGGGTAGAGAGTACTTAAAAAAAATAAAAATTAAAAAAAAAAAAACCAAACAAGAAGACTATACCAAGCTATAATCCCACCAATGGAATATCTGTTTCCTGGTTATTAGCAAGTTTTTGGTGAATTCCTGGTTATTAGCAAGTTTTTTGTGAATCAGAATAATTGAGTGTATAGATGTTGAAGTCACAGGGGAGGGAGGGACGAGACCCATGAAACATAACCACTACTGTCAGGGTGCAAATCCTGGCTTTGACACAAGGCAAGTTATCTAGCCCTTCTGTGATTCATTTTTCTCATTTATAAACGAGGGAGAATAATATTACCTACTTCAGACAGTGACTGCTGAGATCAAGTGAATTAAAATTTAGAACACCTACAACAATACCTAGCACATAAGAATTCAATAAGAGTTCATCATTGTTACTATCTTTATTACATCCCCACATTACTACTGAAATAAAACATCTTTTCCAGATGCTCATTTCCATTTTTATTTTCCGCTATGAAATGTCAATTGTTCTGTGGGATTGTTTGTATTATCGAGTGTTAGAAACTATATATTATACATATTCACACTTGAATGTTAGAATGTTACCTATGGCTTTGCTTATGGTGTTTTCTTACACAGATTTCTTATTAAGTTTGTATTTTTTACTATTGTCAATTCTTTTTTTTAAGTGATTTTTTTAAAGATTTTATTTATTTATTTGACAGAGAGAGAGAGAGAAATCACAAGTACGCAGAGAGGCAGGCAGAGAGAGAGAGGGAGAGGCAGGCTCCCCACCAAGCAGAGAGCCTGATGCAGGGCTTGATCCCAGGACCCTGAGATCATGACCTGAGCCGAAGGCAGAGGCTTAACCCACTGAGCCACTCAGGCGCCCTACCATTGTCAATTCCTTAAAAAAAAAAAAAAAAAGTTCATCATACTTTTTTATAGACTTGATTTTTGTAGTCCTGCTCAAAAAACTGTTTTCTACTTTGAATTTTAAAAATGTTTTCCTTAATTTTCTTCAGATGTTTTTGTGATTTTGTTTTTTCATCCCTAATCTTTAGTATATCTGGAACTTGTTGTTGTTCATGGCATGAGGACTGTATCTCCAAAACCAATAGCCAGGTGCCTCAGCGTCATCAACTGAATAATCTAGTCTTTACTGATTAATCTGAAATGTCACCTTTATTTTATATTAAACTTCCCTATAAATACAGGTTTCTTTCTAGATTTTCTTTTCCATTTCATTAATCTCTGTGTCTATATCTATGTCAACACCACACTGGTTTAATATTTGTTTAGAATATTAGAATTATATGCCATGTGTTTTAGTTTAATGATTATTTGTAATTAATAAAATATATCAAGTATACAATATGTAATATGTTAGCTGTATAATTATACGACACAATATGTTTTATATTTGAGTGGACAAATTCTGACCTTCTTTTTCAAAGTAATCTTGGCTATTCTCGTGCAATTTCTCCTCCAGCTGAATTTTAGAATCATCCTGTCAAGTTCCATAAAAAAAAAAACCAGAAACGAAAAAACCCAAACTGTTGCGATTTTGCTTGGGGTCATATTTAGATTAGATTAATTTAGGAAAGAATTGACGTATTCGAGATATTTAATGTCTTCATTTAAGAAGACAGTAGCAGGGGACTCCTGGGTGGCTCAGTGGGTTAAAGCCTCTGTCTTCAGCTCAGGTCATGATCCCAGGGTCCTAGGATTGAGCCCCGCATCGGGCTCTCTCAGCGGGGAGCCTGCTTCCCCCTCTCTCTCTGCCTGCCTCTCTGCATACTTGTGATCTCTTTCTGTCAAATAAATAAAATCTTAAAAAAAAAAAAAAAGAAGAAGAAGAAGAAGAAGAAGACAGTAGCAGGTTACAATTCTACCAATGGAAAATCTGTTTCCGTATACGGTCTCCATTTTGGCTCTCAGCAAGTTATCTGTAAATGAGGATGGTTAAATGTGTGATGTTGAAGTCAATGCTTGGGAACAAATCCCAAGCACTAGGTTTGTCTCTATTTCTTCAAGGCTTTATCTTCTTCAGTAAAGTAGTGTGCTTTTATTCCATTAGAAGTAGAAGTCTTGCACATTTCATAATAGATCCAGGTATTTTATCATTTTATTCCTGCATGAACAGAATGTCTTTTCTATCATATATTCTAAGTGGTTATTACAGATATGTCTGAGAGCTATTAATTTCTGCACATTGATACTATATCCAGTCACTTTATTCATTCATTCATTCATTCATTCATTTACTTAGAGAGTGCAAGTGGTGGGGAGGAGAGGAGGAGAGAGAGAGAGGGAGAGAGAATCTGAAGCAGGCTCCTCACTCAGCACAGAGCCTGACATGAGGCTCAGCACCCCAAGATCAGGACCTGAGCTGAAATCAAGAGTCAGACGCTTAACTGACTGAGCCACTCAGGTGCAAACCTTACCCCCGCCCAGTCACTTTATCGAGTTATCTTACTAGTCCTAACATTTTCATCAGTTAATTTTCTTGGATTGTTTAGGTAGGTGATCCTGTCTGCAAATAATGGGAGTTTTGTCTCTTCTTTCCAGTATTTATAGCTTACGGTGACTTTTCTAGTTGTATCGGCTAAGACCTCTAATATAACGTTAACCTAATACAGAAACCTCTCTAAAAAGACAAATTGCCCAGTCCTACTCCAGGCTGCTGAATCAGAGTCTTTAAAGGAAGGGATGTAGGCATCTGTATTTTATCAAACTTACAGTCAGCTCTACTATTTGTAACCATTGATGTAAAAATAATTTGAATAGCTAGAAACCTAATTTTATACCTAGACTAGCTTATTATCTCGTTTTATTGCCCTGGTACAGATGCAACCAAGAAACATTTGTGTCTTGGTGGATTCATTCATTCATTCAGTAAATGTTGACAGAACACTGTTAGGTGCCAAGCACTGTTTGGGTGTTAAAGATACACAGATTATTAAAAGTTTAAAGGAGAAATTTGGGGATAAACTTCTATGTCATTTATTTTCCAGAATTTTTTTTTTAAGATTTATTTACTTGAGAGAGAGTGCGTGTGAGTGGAGGAGAGGGGGAAAAGGGAGAGAATCCTCAAGCAGACTCCCTGCTGAGCACAGAGCCTGATGCAGGGCTCGATGCCAGAACCCCAAGATCATGACCAGAACCAAAATCAAGAGTCAGATGCTCAGCCGACTGAGCCACCCAGGCACCCCAATTTTCCAGAAATCTTTTAAACTGTCTAGCAGTGCTGGGCTGAGAGTAAAATAAGGAGGGCACATGCCTCAGTCCCAGAATTTAAGGGGCACAGAAAAGCTCAGTAACCAAGTAAATAATACTGTGTTGCAATGTTTGTAAAAGTCAAAAACGATGTAAAAAAAAAAAAAAAAAGTCTGTGCTGAACAAAATATCAACCCTTCCCATATAAAACAAGATCCAAAAGGAACAGATTGTGGTGAGGTGAGTGAGGCCTAGCCATGCAAGGGCAGGGTCAGATCCTACCTTTATTTAAAATTTTAAAACTTTGTTCATCCTAGAAGTGTTGCATTAATTTTTATTTTTAGAAATATTGCATTTTTAGAAATATTGCAATATTTCTAAAAATTCTTTTGTGAATAAAGATATTGCTCATTGCGCTTAGGGAGCTGGGATTTTGGACGCAAAGGGCTCGCCTCACTTGGTCCCCTCTGGTCTTGCGACTGTAGTCTTATTTTTTATCACACGACTAACTTTAGGCACCAAAGTAGGGTTTGGCGCCACCAGGGGGCGCACAGGGGCCGGTACGCGGGTTCCTGGAACTCCTTGCCCTATCGAGGCAGAGAGAGCAAGGAAGATTAAAGAGAAAGGCAAACAGTTGCCTTCTTTTCTCTTGTTTTCTTCCATATCCATATATTTGCTTAAGTACTTGCCACCTTTCTTATGGCTGATTGTTCCAAAAGGAAGAGCCTGGCAGGGCCAGGACTCGGGAGGACAAGGGAGCCCGGGTCTGGACAGCCTTGCAAACGCCCCCCTCCCCTCACCTTCACTGCAGGAAATAACTTCAGGGACAAATCCGCAGAACTGTTGTGCCAAGCCTTGTCGGTAAGAAGTGAGGGGCGGGTGCCACTGAGAGCCCTCTGGGCCATGGCCCTGGGCCATGTGGGCGGCCTGGCGGGTGGCTCCGGGCAGAGAACAGTGAGTTCCACCCAAAAGTCTAGGGAGCTGGTGAGGATCTGGACTCTGCCGAGCCTGACAACAGCCACGGCAGCAGCAGGGCTGTTTGGATGGGACAAAACCCCCCCAGGAGTAATCAACCGTTACAGAAAATGCGCAAGAGAGTATCTTCCGTCTATGTGCTCTGGGCCACTCAATTTTTGGTGCGTGGGAGCCCTCCATCACACGGCCCTGAGATGAGAGAGGTATTTGCAGCCATAGAGAAGACAAAAATCACCTCTCTACATGGTTTCTTTCTCCAGGCCAATTACCAAATCAAGACGCTGGATCTCAGCCACAACCAGTTCTCTGATAAGGGAGGAGAGTACGTGGGCCAGATGCTGGGTGAGTCCCCCACCGAGGGAAGGGTCCAGCAAAGGAGAGGCACTTGGCAGACGGTCGGTCACCTGTCAGGGCTGCATCCCCCTGTTTTTTATGGTTATGGAATGCTCAAATCATAAAGTGATGGAAGCCACACCCCAGACATTTTAAGTGGAGCCGACATCTGAATGTGGGAAATAACACTTTACAAAGATCAGAAAAACATACGAAGGAATAACTTGCTGACCTCAGGGAGGCTAAGGGTGATTAAATAGGCACAGCAGGCGAAAACTGTCACCAAAATGATTCATTTGTTTGACAACGATAAGTTTAAAACTTGCCTCTGATAAAAGATGTTATGGGACAATGTGAAAAGACAAGCAACAGAGAACACACACTTGCAGCATCCTATCATATACAAGATTTGTGTTCAGAATATTGATAAAAGATCCTTCAGATCCTTGGACAATGATGAACACTCCCAGTAGAACAATGATCCTACAGGCAGTGCAAAAAGAAAGCCAAATGCCTAAACTCTCTAGCAATTAGAGAAATGCAAAATAAAACAATGAAAAGATCCCCCTTGTCCTCTACCAAAGCTGCAGAAATTTCAAGTTAGAGAATACCCAGTGCATTGAATCCAGGGGAGAAATAAGAAGTCTCTGAAGCTGCCAGTTTGGGGGAGCAGTTTGACAGTATCTAGTAAAATAGAAAATGTATATATTCCATGATACAACAATTCACCTGTGCATGTCTCAGTGATGCTCCCACGCGTACATAGAGATGTCTGAGGAGGCTCACTGCAGATTCGTTATAAGAAAAAAAAGAAAGAAACTAAATGTTCATTCCTAGGGGAAATGAGTAGAAAAGGGCATCACCGTTAGCAGGAGAGATGCTACTCTAGGTGGGGTGGCGAGAAAAAACCCCACAAGGAAGGTGGCTTTTTGTTGAAATCTGACTATCAAAGAAGAACCAGGTTCTGGAAGCTCAGCATGCCAGGCGGAAGGAGCAGAGCCTGGCAAGTCTGAGGAAGGGGAGCGGTGGGACTGTGGCAGAGCAGGCAGGGGAGAGGGGAGGAGAGCGGGCAGGGGAAGCGAATGGAAGGAGGAGGTCAGCGAGGTGGCCTGCCGCTGCTGAGCCGGGGCTTGGTGGGCTAAGACACGCATGAAGTCGTGTTCATCATCACATTCCCCATGTGATGAGAAGTCAGCGCAGGGTGTTAGCGTCGGGGAGTGACACGGACGGCTTCGCAGTTTAGAGGAACTGTTTTGTGAAGTTTATGCAGTTTTATGAAGAACACAGCTGAGGACAACCAGACTCTTTTTTTTTTTTAAAGATTTTATTTATTTATTTGACGGACAGAGATCACAAGTAGGCAGAGAGGCAGGCAGAGAGAGAGAGGAGGAAGCAGGCTCCCCGCTGAGCAGAGAGCCCGATGCGGGGCTCGATCCCAGGACTCCGGGATCACGACCTGAGCTGAAGGCAGAGGCTTTAACCTACTGGGCCACCAGGCGTCCCGACAACCAGACTCTTAAATACAGAGAACAAACTGGTGGCTGCTGGGATCGGGGTGGGGGGCACGGGTGAGCTGTGTGGAGGGAACTGAGAGGTACAAATGGCCAGTTATAAAACAAGTAAGTCATGGAGATGAAAAGTATAGCATAGAGAACATTGTCAATAGTATCTTTTTTTTAATAGATTTTATTTATTTATTTGACAGAGAGAGATCATAAGTAGGCAGAGAGTCAGGCAGAGAGTGGGGGGAGAAGCAGGCTCCCTGCTGAGCAGAGAGCCCGACGTGGGGCTCGATCCCAGGACCCAGAGATCATGACCTGAGCCGAAGGCAGCGGCTTAACCCACTGAGCCACCCAGGCGCCCCTGTCAATAGTATCTTAATAGCGTTGTCACTATGGTGTCACTATGGCGACACTTGCCATAGTGAGCGCTAGGTAATATATAGAATGGTTGGATCGATATGTCATACACCTGAAACTAACGTAACACTGTATGCTAATTGCACTTTAATTAAAAAGAAAAAATGTAAGAAAGAAGGTCAATTAGGAGACTAATACTGCAGTCCAGGCAAGAGGGGACCATAGCTGGAGCTGAGGGGAAAGGTAGTAACAGAGGGGAGTGGAAGGATCCAGAATGGACTTTGGAAGTAAAGCCAAAAAGACTTGCAGATGTGGAGAATGAAGGAAAGGGAGAGAGAAAGATACATGCCTGGTTATTTTGTTTCAGGAACTGGTTGGATGGTGGTGCCATTTACTTAGAAGGGGAAACTCAGGGAGTAAATGTTATGGAGGGACAGGAGTCAGGAGCCAAGACTTCTGTTTTGGTCATGTGATGTTTGCCACGTCTGTCATCTGTGGTGAGACATGTGGTTTGCTACATGGGTTTAGAACTTGGTGAACAGGTCAGGAGTGGATATCTGGACCTGGGAATTAGAGGCATTGCAATATATTCAAAACCATGGGGCAAGATGAGATCATCGAGGCAAGGAGTGTGGATGGAGTTAAGATGGTGGCCATTGGACCAGTCTGACACCTTCACGTGTCCCAGAGCGGGAGGGGGAGCCTGAGCAGGAGTGGTCAGCTAAGTAGGGGGAAGTGAGGTATCAAGAAGCCAAGTAAGGGATGCTTTCAGGAAGGAGAAAGTGGTCTCAGGTGGGTCAAGTGCTGTGTAGACATCAAATAAGATGAGGTCAGAAAAGTGACTACAGGACCCGGCAGCATGAAGGTAATTGGAGACCTTGACGAGAGCTGTGTTAGTGAAGGACGTTGAGTGTGAAGACCTGACTGGAGAAGGCAGAACGGAAAATGGGCCGCAAAGAAGTGAAATGGCAATGTGGGCACTTCCAGGAGCTTCTCAGAAACGAGGCTGGGGCAGAAAGATGGACATGGAGGCAGGAAGGCTCATAATGATGGAAAATACTCATAGGAAGGAAAGAAGAAGAAATGGGTCGTGAGAAAGGAAGAGGAGGTAGTTGCAGAGCAGAGTCCTTGAGAAGGCCAACAGAGGAGCTTTGGGGAAGCGAGACAAAAATAAAACCAGATGAAATCAGAGAGGGAGACAAACCATAAGAGACTCTTAATCATAGGAAGCAAACTGTGGGTTGCTGAAGGGCCGAGAGGTGGAGGGATGGGGTAACCGGGTGATGGGCATGAAGGAGGGGACGTGATGTCATGAGCACTGGGTGCTACATACAACTGATGATTTACTGACCTCTGAAACTAATAATTCATTGTAAGTTAATTAACTGAATTTAAATTAGAAAAGAAAGAAGGAAAATGCTGGCAGCCATGGAGTGAGGAGCAAAGGGGCAGGGATAGCCTCTGAGAAATGTGTTGAGAGAGGAAAGGACCAAAGTGTGTACTCGAGGTGACAGATGTGGGGGGCGGATAGAAGGGGTAGGGAGTGGAGGAGGGTAGAACTCTCCCATGTCACTGCTGCCACCTGCTCAGTGAGGTGTGAATGACATCTTCCCCAAGAGAAGGGTCCAGGCCGATAGGTCAGAGGGGAGAAGCATAGTGCACCAGCCTCGTGGGGCAGTTTGAGTCCATCTGAAACCTGATGTTCAAATACGTTAAAACTAAATTTTAGGGGCACCTGGCTGGCTCAGTTGGTGGAGCCTGTAATTCTTGATCTTGGGGTTGTGGGTTTGAGCCCCATGTTGGGTATAGAGATAACTTAAAAATAAAATTGCTTTTTAAAAACTATAAATTTGGGGCGCCTGGGTGTCTCAGTTGGTTAAGTGTCTGCCTTCACCTCAGGTCATGATCTCGGCATCCCAGGACCGAGTCTCGCATAGGACTCTCTGCTCAGGAGGGAGCCTGCTTCTCCCTCTCCCTCTGCCCCTCCCCGCTGCTTGTGTGCACGCGCTCTCTCTCAAATAAATAAATAAAATATTTTTTAAACAATAAATAAATAAATAACCCTAAATTTTAAAACAACTTGAAAGTGAGACAGACTCCTATTGTATATGAGCTTTTTAAAAAATATTATTATTAAGGCTGCCAGTGATTCAGTGATTGTCATGGGATAGGCGTCCTGCTAGACATTTTACATCGGTTTTCCCCCAAAACCTTGTATGGGTTACTACCTCCACTTTCACAGCTAAGAAAACAGAAGTAAGGGAAGAATAAAGAGCCCACTCAAGGTCACACAGCTAGTCAGGGGTGAGAACAGAAGTCACATTTAAATTGTGTGGTCATCGAAGAGACGCAGGTGTACAAGGAACAGTAAGGGAGGGAACTTGCAGAGAAGAGGGAGTAGGGATAAGAAGAGAACGAAGGGGGGACGTTTGTTCTCAAAACGGTGTAAGGTGTCGTGCACTTTACTCAAAGTCCGTCCTGGTGGTCGACACGAGAGACAATCGGTACACGGCGCACTGACCGTGGAAAAGAACACCGAGTAGGACATTTTCCTGGGTCTGAGGGTGAAGGCCTCCCTTCGCCCAGCCAAGTTTCAAGGGTTCTTCAGCCCCTTTCCAACGGTGTCCTCAGCAAGCCTCCCTCCCCCAGTACAAATAACCATGATCGCGAGCTTCAAGAAGATGTTTTCCCAACCCTAGGTAGCACGTAAGCAAAAATATTTTTTTAAAGATTTATTGATTGATTTTAGAGAGAGAAAGAGCTGGCGAAGGGCAGAGGGAGAGGGAGAGAGTCCCAAGCAGACTCCCCCGCTGAGTGCGGAGCCCAAAGCAGGGCTCGAACTCACGACCCTGAGATCATGACCTGAGTTGAAACCAAGAGTCAGACGCTTAATAGATTGTGCCACCCAGGTGCCCCCAAAATATTTTTAAGTTAAAAAAAAGTACAACTTCTATGCAAACTAGCTTCTAGATAAGCCTGGTGCCTCACCACTTAGAACTGATGGTGTCCCTAAAGCTTTCTGGAGCCTCCTCTGCTATGTAGTTCTCCGAGAAAACCACATTACGTGATGTAATAGACCATCACCGCCTCCCTGTGTAACTACAACCCTTGGGTTCCAACCATCTCAATTAGTTGAATGGCTGCATTACATTCCACCAATGGATGTTTGTTACGTGCTTGACCCTTCCCCTGTGAGTCACGGATGTTACTTTTCTAAGTGAGGCCATGGTTAAACATCTGCAAGCATGGGACTCATCTCATATCCTGCACCGTCTCCTTAGGAAGGGTCTCACAGGTGACATTGCTTGCATGATAGGGCACACACAGTCCAAGAGCCAAATATCTGTGACCAGATCACATTTGCCAAATAGATTGTAGCCATCTGCTTGCCGCCTGCAGTATACGAGTGGGATTGTTTTACCGCGTCGTTGCCAGCTTCGGGAGTCCTCTGACAATTTTGTCTTTCGGTGAATAACTCAAACATTGTTGCCCCAGTGTCTTACTTCGCATGACCGTTGAGTAGTCCTTATTCCCCGATGTCATGGATATCTGTCAACTCTGAGAATGGGTTCCCTGGGATTTGGGGAACACTAAGATGACTCCTTCCCTCCCCCAGCCCTCAATATAGGGCTCCAGTCACTGGATCTGAGCTGGAATCACTTCCACGTGCGGGGAGCTGTGGCCTTGTGCAATGGTCTCCGGGTAAGGCGCTCCCTGGCAGTGGTGTGTTGAGGCCAGTGAGGACGTCCAGGGCCTCCCATCCCGCCATCTCGAACCTCTTCCTGATGACCCTGTGGATGAGCACACCCCATGGTTGAGCTCTCATCCGATGCTTTCCCGTTGTTAGTGTCCTTCCCACAATTCCTGGATGTGCTTTATTCCTTAGTATAAATCCTACTTTGGCAAATGCTCCTTGCTGGGGTCTTGGTGGCATCTTTGGGAATACTTTAAGAGGGCAGTTTCATTAGAGGGTAGGGAATGACCAGGTCCTTACTCCCTCGACCAGAAGGGATCTGGAAAATTCTAGTGGAGCTCTCCCTCCTGGAGACCACGGGGCACCCAAACTGGACAGCAGCAGGGGAGAGAAACCAGGGCCTGGTGGCTGGTGGAGTCACCCGCAGCCTTGCTGCTGGCGCTGTTCTCTCCCCTCCCTGGAGGTTAATACGACCCTGCAGAAACTGGATCTCTCTATGAACGGCTTTGGGAACGAGGGGGCTACGGCCCTGGGGGAGGTCCTCAGACTCAACAACTCCCTGGTCTACCTAGACATCAGCTGCAATGACATCACTAATGATGGAGTCTCCAAAATCAGCAAAGGGCTGGAGGTCAATGAGAGCCTCAAAGTTCTGAAGGTAAAGTCTTTTCTTAAGCTGGGAGCAGGGCGTTTTATGTGTGTGTCCGTGTGTGTGTGCACGCGTGTTCAGGTGTGTGTGCGTGCATCCGTCTGTGTTTGTGTGTGTCTTTGTATGTTGGGCAGGGGTGGCAGGGTGATGGGGTTGCATGTTGCTGGGGAGAATTGTTGGGAAAATTCACCTTGGGCTTCACAACCCTAATGTCACCCTCGGCTGTCACCTGGTGCATGGGCTCATCTCCCAACCCGTCTTCCTTCCTCCCACCTGGGACTTCGCTCCACACTAAAGCCAGAGTGTGTGTTTTGAGCATAAGTCTGACTTCCACCCCGACCCGCATCTAGTCCCCTTCGGCTTAGATCCCCGCCTGGCTTCCTATGGTTCAGAGCCAGTTCTCTCCTCCCGGTGTGCTTCTCTGGACTCAGTTTACCCCGTGCTCTCCCTTGCTGTCCAGCCATGGCCTCAGGAGCTGCTTTCATCTCCCCCTTCCCAGGGCCCGGATCTCCCGGTGGCCTTGGCTCAGCCTCCCCTGTAATGTTCTCCCCCACTGTTCCCTGCCCCTACCTGAGTCACTGCCCCAGCTCAGCACCCTGCTCCGGCAGCCGTCCTCACGGACCCTCAGATCTCAGCTCACCCCTTCATGCAGAACTTGCCAGGTTCCTCCGTAGACTCTCATTTCAGTGGCTGACTGTCTGGTCATCCTCACTGGTGTGAGAGCTGCACCAGACCAAAGACGCTGTTTTCTTCTGCCCATTATTTTACCCCTTGTACCTATGGACACATAATAGATGCCCAATGAATGTCCATTAATGAAAGAATGAATACATCTTTCATTTTATTTTTAAAAAGATGTTATGTATTTATTTGACAGAGAGAGACAGGGAGAGAGGAAACACAAGCAGGGGAGTGGGAGAGGGAGAAGCGGTCTTCCCGCTAAGCAGGGAGCCTGATGTGGGGCTCGATCCCAGGACCCTGGGATCATGACCTGAGCCAAAGTCAGATGGTTAACAACTGAGCCACCCAGGCATCCCTACATCTTTCATTATAAATTGAGTGACTTATAGGGGTGCCTGCCTCTGCCGGTTGCCCCCACCCCCAGCTTGTATGCACTCTCTCTCTCTCTCTGTCAAATAAATACATAAATTCTTTAAAAATAAATAAATACATAGATTGGCTTATAGATGCTAATATCTAACATAGAAGCTCCTGGGGGGGGCTCCTGGGTGGCTCAGTGGGTTAAAGCTTCTGCCTTCCGCTCGGGTCATGATCTCAGGGTCCTGGGATCGAGTCCCGAATCAGGCTCTCTGCTCGGCAGTGAGTCTGCTTCCCCCTCTCTCTCTGCCTGCCTGTCTGCTTACTTGTGATCTCTCGGTCAAATAAATAAATAAAATCTTAAAAAAAAAAAAAAAAAAAAGAAGCTCCTGGGCAGTTAGAAAACAGATGATAAAGGAGGCCTTCCATTACCAGTTTCCCTTTCTGGGGCTCTTGCCATGAGGCAAGTGCCTATTAGGGGGCTGGCTTCTTGCCCCCCACGCGGCCCTCCAGCATGGGCTCCATGCGTGCCACCTGTCATATGGGAAAGCCGAGCCTACGTGACCAGCTCAGGCCCTGCAGCTCAAGAGAGGCAAAGAAGTCAGCCTCGCCTGGCTTCCCGCTGCAACTCCAAATTCCTCAAGATGGGAGAGGGGGTGATTTGGGGGCCACAGATGTGGGGTTGCTGGTGGAGAAGGACGGGAGTTCGAAGTCAGTGACAGTGAACTGTCATCTCAGAGGACAAGCACCTCAGCTCTGCACAGAGGAAGCCAGCTTCCTAGCCGTGAAGGGAGCAGAGGGGACCGGCTGGGGACCGCGAGAGGTGGCAGTGAGGTCCGGCCCGAGCCAGAGGAAGAGTAACTCAAAGAAGAGAGACTGACCGATGCAGCCTGCCTGGGACTCAGCCTCCGTGGAACCATGAAGCCAAGTTCAGAGCACCCGAATCGTAAAAGATTGAAATGTTGCCTCAGCAACATGGCAACGGGGGTTTTCTCTACTGGATGGGGTACTGGTGATTTTAACATTTTTTCTACCTCTCTTTGAATTTCTTGTATAATGACCATGGGTCGTTGTTTAAATGTTTAAACATATTGTCATGTGTTTAAATATATGTAAAATTCGCTTAATGTTTTAAAATGAAAGGAAAAAGTTTTAAACACAACTTACAACCTACCTCTCAGCTGGGGCGTAGGTGGGAGCCACGTGAATCTTGCGCCTGGAATGATCTCCTGTTCTCCACGTCGAGCATGGCCCTCCTTTCCCTACTCTTGGAAAAATAAGGATTTCCCCAGGGAAGTGAGTCAACCAAAGGCTTCTAGAAGCTAAGCCTTACGAAGTCCATGTTCTCTCTCTCGAGTCCGTCGGAGCCGGGGAAACACTGGACACAGAGTAGGTGCTCAGTGAAAGTTCTGGCTGCCTCATGAAGACACCACCTGGCAGAAAGCCTTCAACAATAATAACTAACATTCATTTGCTGCTTAGTGGGTACAATGCATTCTTTTGAATGCTTTGCTTGAATTGATTTATTGGAACCTCAGAGTGGCCCGAAGCGATAGGTACCCAGTGGTCAGGGAATCAATCCAAGGCCAGCAAACTAGGAAGCAGAGCCACTGGGCTCCGTGTTCCTTGCTGTTAACCACTACACCAAGCTTCAGCGGCTCTCAGCTGCCTTGGGATCATGCCCTACGTGCTCAGCTAGGCCTTCACGGTCCCTGTGAAGCTCTGTGGCCTCGTTCTTCTGGCTCTTGCTCAAGAGATGTTTGTCATTGCCCAAATACCTCTGCACCTTTGCACTTGCCTACCCCTGTCTACTTTGGTGCATCTCATTCCCTCTTCTGGTCCTGCCCCAGCTTCTTCCAGACCAGAAGAATCCCCGTTAGTTCTGTAAGGCTTACCTCAAATGTCCCCTCCCTGGTGTCAGATGCCCCTTTCCTGGCTTCCGTGGTACCAGAGTGTGCCTCTGTCACTGCCCTCATTGCACTCCTGATGCCATTCACGTGTTTGCCTGCGGCCCTCTCTAGACTGTAAGCTGCAGGAGGACAGAGACCTGTCCTTTCTGCCTGTGCGTCCCTTAGCACGTTTCCCAGCAACTGGCACATGGTAGGTCTGCTGGCTGGATGGACGGACGAACAGATAGATGAATGGATGAGCAGTGAGATGGACAAGCAGATGGATGTCTGGACAAACAGACAGGGAGACGGGTGCTTACAGAGAAGTCTGGGTGGAAGATAGAGATGACAATTTGATGGGAAGTAACGGAAGCCATGCTCTGAGCCAGCCTCTCCTGTCCCCACCTTATCCCCCGCGTCTCTTGTCCCTCTTCCCACAGCTTTTCCTGAACCCTCTGAGTATGGATGGGGCTGTTTCACTCATCCTGTCCATCAAGAGGAGCCCCAAATCCAAGATGGAAGAGATCGACATTTCTGTGAGTGATCAGACGGCGTTTGCTCGCACCAGGGCACATGCCGGGGGCACCAAGAGCTCTATCCCTCCCACAAGTGCTCCATGACAAGGTCACTCCTTTTGGGGTACAACTTGGCCCTCTCTCAGGGTCCTTTTAGCAGGAGCAGCCACTCCGTCAATAACTTCATGGTGTGACATCCCAGACCGGAGCCCGAGTGGGTCTGGGAGCAGAAATAGCAGAGACCAAGAAGGGATCCCCAGAGCAGCCTTTGTTCACCGCCCGCCCTCGTGGACAGCCCTGGCTCCAGAACGGTTCCAGAATCGCAGAACTTTTAGAATCTGTGTAGTAACACACACATAATCTATTTGTATCCCATGACATGGGCCCCCTGAAAGTAGAAGGTAAGGGTTAACCCCCCAAAAGAGGAGGGAGGCCCGAGGAGGAGACGACACTGGGCCAGGTGTTCTTGCCTGGATCATGAGACAGGTGGTGGCTGGTCCTCCGCTTTACACTGGTCCCCCCACCCCCCAAGTGAGCTTCTATGCCTCGGCTCATCAGACCCCACTCTGGGAGGTGGGTGGAGTTTTCTTATGTTCCAGAGCGACCTTGAACACAGTATTGCAGTCCGGGGGCTCACTCAATAGAAATGTTCTGTAAACCACGGCCCAGGATCAAGGTGTTGGCAGGATTGACTCCTGCAGAGGACTGTGAGGAAGAGGGTGTGATGCCTCTCCCAGCTTCTGGCCGTTTGCTGGCAATCGTGGATGTTCCTTGGCTTGTAAGAGCATAACCCTGGTCTCTGCCTTCAGCTTCAGACGGCGCTCTCCCCGTGTGCATGTCTGTCTCTGTATCCAAATGTCCTTTTTAGAAGGACACCAGTCACAGCAGATTAGGGCCCACTCCAATGACCTCATCTTGACTCCATCCTCTAAAAAGACCCTATTTCCAAATAAGATCACCTTCACAGGTATAGGGGATTAGGACTTCAGTATCTCATTGGTGGGAACGCAGTTCAACCCATAACAAGAACTTTTCCTCATCCTTTTATATATAAGGAAAGTGAAACAAAGAAGTTAGGTCATTTGCCCAGGATCACAAAGGCAAGCCAAAAACTCAACAAAGGGTAAACCCAGGGTTTCTGCCTCTTACTCTAGAGTTCTATCAAGAGACGGTGTTAAAGTCGTGTGCATTATTTTAACGTCACACAGATACGATGTTTTGCCAAGATTTTATCGCTGTGCAATAATATTAGTGATGGTACCTTGAATATTTAAGAACAGGCTCCTTGGAACTGAATAATAAGTAAAATTTGGACTTAGGTTCGCCACAGATTATAAAACCCTGGAAAAACACCCCTGCTTTTCTTTTCCCTTTGTTCTCTTCCCCACGCTCCCTGCCCTGGGGTCCACCTTTGCTCACAGTCTGTCTGTCTCGGGGGCCTTCGCCCACTGTCACCCAACAGCTCTGGCCTTGCACGGCCCATGCTGCCTTAGCCCCCACCCCACCCTGCCTCTGGGGCATTTGCTCTCCCCCCAAGCCTGCCCCAGTGCAGGCTGGAAGGCATGCCCTCAGGCACTGTCTTGCCATCTGAGGGAATGTTTAGAAACAGTGCTATTTGGCTAACCCCAGATGGCACACGATGCCACGAGCTGGGATCACCCTGCCCCCTTATAAGCCTTTCAGCTCAGACAGGTCTGAATTAGACTTTTCCCTCCCTTTTGTCATCTCTCCTGATGTAACTCTAAACAGTGTTGGAACCCCTTCACTGTAGATGAACTTTCTCTAGAATATCTACAAACTGGGATGAGGTAAGCCTTCAGCCCTTAAGCATAGGTTTAATTATCTGAAGTGGCAAATAATTCCTCAGAACCACATCTGAGGAATGAGACGGGCTCACCCAACCAGGGAAGGCTCGCTTGGGTCAAACACTGCTTCACAGAACACGTCTTCTCCAGTGGCCTATCACCCCGCTCTGAGGGCACTTCCAAAAGGGGAGTTCCCAGTGGGTTTTGAGCCAGGATGGGGTGGTTGGGATGAGGAATCCTCTTCCGGGGCATCTGCTCCAAAGTCCAATATGGTGTAGAAACAGACATCTCAGGGCTTTTGTCTCGGGCGCCGTCTCCTACCCCCATAGCTGGGAGTCATCTGTCACACACAGACACTGAGGCTCGCCCTCCAAGAGCCGAGCAGACAGTGTGGGGCGGGCTGCCAGCCCTCAGCCAGAACAGCCGATCAAAATCACATGCGAACCTTACAAGTCAAATCGCAAGCTATGAGAACAACGAAGGAATCCAGGCTAGGAGCAGTACTGTAGAACAAGCTGGAAAAGATGCCCCCCTCCAAAAAAAAAAAAAAAAATCCCCAAACCAAAACCTCTGCTTTTGGCTTGGATGCGCCTGCTGGTCTGAGGGGGTGGAGAGGTGGGGAGGGGGGGGGCCGGGACTTGGAGATGGTACAGTGGATGGCTTCCTCATGTTGGGTCCCCTCTCTTCCCGCCTCAGAACGTGCTGGTGTCTGAGCAGTTCCTAAAAATATTGGACGGGGTGTGTGCCATCCACCCCCAGCTGGATGTGATGTACAAGTCCGTGCAAGGCTTCTCTGCCAAGAAAGCGCTCCTCCAGTGGACGAACCCCATGAAACTGATCCAGGTGAGCCCTTGCCTTCCTCCCCGAGACCCCAAGGACCCAGAGGCTCCCCTCCCCCAAAGCGTCTGCACAGTCCTTTCTGACAAGGATCGTCTCAGACGTGGAATGTTCCTTGTGGATGTTGGTTCCCCCAGCAGTGCTTCCCGGCTCCCCAAGGAAGCGGCCATCTGGGACCTGGCTGAGGGGGAGGGGAGGGCCGGTCTTGGAACAGGATGGTTTCTACCAGCCAGGCTCCTCCAACCAAGGCTCTCTGAGTCCCAATCTGTTCACGTGCAAAACGGGTAGAACAACACGACTCACCCCAGGAGGGCTATGGAGAGCCAGTTCTGTTAAACACACATGAAGGGCTTAGAGCCATGCCTGGCCAATAATAAGCGCCCAGCAAAGGCAAGCTCTTGCCAATGACTGGTAAGGATGGCCAAGACGCTCCCCGGCCCCCTCGCCCCCGCCGTGGTGAGGACAGCTATTGGATGGCTCTGGCTAAGGAGAGACTCTCAGATCCTTTCTATCTCGTGGTCACCTGCTCCTAGCTCAAGTCTCAGATCACAGGAGGCAGATGGAACCCATGGAAATGAGAAATCAGTTTTAAAGCTGTAAGGACGCTCGAGAGGTCTGATCACCTCACAGAGGAGCGTCCAGCGCAGGCTGGTATTCCCACTCCGGGCTCTCAATGGACAGGCCCCTGCTGGATGCACACTGGCTGCTATCTGGGGTGATGCCCCTCCGATGTGGGTCCTGTGGGCTGCGTGCTGCTGGGGCAGCTTCCTGCTCCTTGGTTGGTCTGCTCTGTGCCTTAGCCTCCAGGACTAAATTGAAAAGCTCTGCGTGCAAAATATTGTGTGGAAAGTTCTAGAAGGCAAGGGGGTATCAAGTATCTTCATGAGTCAGATGACATCAGATGGAACCAAGGGAAAACCACAGGAATGGAGTTCTGAGATGTGAAGTGGGGGCCCCACCCCGTGTTTAAAACAGCATAGAATCTTTAGGAATCTCATAAGAATTCCAGATTAGAGACCAAACCTGATGTGCAATGGAAAACATAGTCCTTTCCCTCGGGGTGGGGTGGGAGGGCAACAGTCTGGTTGGGAGGATGGGACAGATGCAGTAACTTTTCATAGATATATGATAAATAGTAAATGAGTGCCAAAGGCAGCAAATATCATTCAAGTCCAGAGCAGAGGCCACTGTGGGATTAGGCAAACAGAAAAGGACACGTCTTGGGGAAGGGCCTTGAAGAGCAGAAAGGATTCAGGTGAGTGACAGCGACAGGGAGGAAGTTCTGGGAGTAGGATTCCCACCAGCAAAGGAGCTGGGGGTGGTACACACCGTGTGCTTGGGGGATGGGCAGGACCACACGGCTCCAGCAGAAGAACCTCATGGTTCTAGGCTCCTGCAAAGCCTGGCAGTCAAGGCTGCGCAGGGAGGCTGGGGCTGGCTGGGGCTCAGTGTTGGGGTTTGATCCCACAGGGCGTAGGGAACCAGCTATAGTTGCTGAGCAGTGGGCGATGTGAATGCAGCAGGACTCAGGGATAAGTTTTTAGGCAATGGAGAGGAAATGAACCGAAGAGGGTAAAGATGAGAGTGGGAACGCCAATGAGGACACTGTGATCGTATGCTAGGTATGATAACAGCATTCTAGAATGGTGCCTTGCCTGAGAGTGGCAGTGGAAGTGGAGGGGCTGATGTGGCAGATACCATTATGGGGCATCTCCAGGATTTGGTGAATATTTGGGTACGTGGTGCACGCGTGTGAGTGTGTGTGAGTATGTGTGTGTTCGGAGAAGGAAGGCTTGTCATGATAGGAGAGAGCCAAAGATAACCCCAAAAATTCTAGCCCAAGCGACTAGAAAAATTGGCAGGGGAAGCAAAGTCTTCTCTGGCCGCACCCTCTCTGCCTGGCCTTCCCCACGGGCTCTGCACAGTTGAGCCCCACGAGATTTCTCCCTGTTTATCTACACCAATTCTCGCTCAACCCCAGGCCAGTGCACACGCACGTTCCTCTGCCTAGAACACCCTTCCTCCTGCCTTCTATGTCTCACTCGTTTCTACTCTTCCTCTAGGTCTCTACTCAAGTTCATGTCCTCAGGCGACCCTTCCAGATTCCCTAATCAGGAGTGCTAGCCCCTCTCTGAACCGTCCAGGGCAGGACGATGATGGGTTGTATCCGTAGCACCTACCAGAGCCACGGGCCCTTCTTGAGCTGGTCCAAGTTCTTGTTGTTGACCACACAATCCACTCTAGCTGAGCTAAGCAAAGAGGGATATATTACCAGAGACCGACCCCAGAAAGGTGGAGGGGGGTTGAAGAAACAGACTCCTAGTTTAGGTTCCAGAAATAGCTCCCCAAATCCCCCACGTGGGCTGCCAGTGTGGAGGCAGCTTCTGCTGTGAACGGGAGGCTGCCCAGTGGGGAATCAGCTGCCGAATCAGGACCACCCCACAGCTGCCTCCGGCCTGCTCCCTCCGAATCGGAGCTCTCACACAAGCCTCCCCTGGCTGCTTGGTGAGACGCATCCCATTCAGTCACCTAGCTGAAAGGGAGGTTAGGGAATGTCCATGTTTAGCTCTGCAGTGTCTGCCTCATGGAGCTGCGTGTGTGGAGGGGACGGGATTCATGGCGGCTCACCCGTGGGGTCCCCCCCAGGGCTGGCAACCGCTGGGAGGGTCGAGCTGCCTGAGAGTCACCTGGGACGTGTTGGCCTGTGGTGCCAGTGGGTGTCAGCATGGACTTGTGAGCAGCTGAGCCGCTCAGGATGCAGAAGTAGGGTCCCTCCAGGGGGAGAGGCAGTGCACCCCAGAAGGGTTAGTGTGGGGAGGCAAGAGCAGGGGACTGAGGACTGGTCCCTGAGGAGTTCCCCAGCCAGCACGCTATCTGCGGGAATGTCTGTCAGTCCAGCTGGGCCTCAAAGGCCTGTCGAGAGTGGGAGGGGAAGAGAAATGTAAACATACTTCGGAAGGACCCCAAAGGAATGTTTGAATGATACGGAAGAGGTGTTCACGGTGTATTAGTACAATGCATTCTATAAAAGAGTATGGACGATAGGAAGATGTTGGATGGATGGAGAGACAGGTAATAGATGATAAATGAATGATAGACAGACAGAACAAACAGCAGAGACTCTAATCCTTCTCTCCTTGGAGTTGTCTGGAGATCCTGCTCCATGGAGTGGGGGCTCCTGGAAAGCGAGCAAACCCCCAGAGCCGTCATGGAGGGCAGCTCGCCACGCCTCACCCTGTGCGGGGCTCCTGGGCTTAGGCAACCGCTACACACAGGAGACTTGGGCTCCCCCGTCTCCTTCGTACACCTCCCCTCCGCTTGCCAGGCTGCCCTTTGGCAGGGAGCGGCGGGTGGGGCAGTGGGTGGTGAGTAGGTGTTCTAAAATCAATTGTGTGTTCCTGGTGTCTCCTGCTTCTCTCAGAGCTATGCCGACCAGCACAATATCACAGTCCTAGACTTCTTCAAGAGCTTGAACCCTAAAGGAATGATGACGATGCCTGTGGGGGACTTCCGGAAGGCCATGATACAGGTGTGCTGACCCCTGTGGCTATAGTCCAGGGGGGTGGTGGGGGGTGGTGTCTGTGTGTCTGTCCGTCCGTGTGTATGTGTGTCTGTGTCTGCATATGTGTCTGTTTCTGTGTGTTTATGTGTCTGTGTTTATCTGTGTCTGTGTATATTTGTGTATGTCTGTGTATATCTGTGTGTCTGCATGTGTGTGTCTGTGTATCTCTGTGTCTGTCTCTGTGTGTGTCTGTGTGTGCCTGTGCTGTCTATATGTCTGTGTATCTGTATGTGTGAATATCCGTCTGCGTGGGTCTGTGTGTGTGTCTCTGTGTGTGTGTGTTTCTGTGTCTGTGCATATCTCTATGTCTGTCCATGTGTCTGTGTGTCTGCACGTCTGTCTGTCTGGGTGTGTGTGTCTGTGTGTATGTCTGTCTTTCTGTCTGTGTCGGGGGGCTGCTGACCTTGCACGGTCCATCCACCCCTTCAGCAGGACAAGGTCCCCGTAAACCTGCACCAAGTCAGGGAGCTGATAAAGAAGCTGGGTGACAAGACAGGCATGGTGAACTTCAGGTCAGTGTGGGCCCAGGGGCCATCTGATCCCGCTTCTGCCTGGGAAGCCCCGTTGCCCCCACCCCCCGCAGGCGCCCTCGCTGAGCGGGGTGCACCCTGCACTCCATGAGGCGACCTCACCTCCGTGGAAGCAGCTGGCCGCGCTCTCCAGGGCTCCCAAGCCCGCCCCACGGTCTGCCCTCTGCCTCAGCTCCCCCTCAACCACGGACTGCTGGCTGCAGGGCCAGACTCTGGGGACACAGTGAGGTGACACACCAGAGTGCATGGCTAGACCCCAGTGTGTTGGGAGGGGTCTGCAGGTCCCCTGGGAGCCCAAAGAGGAGGATCACTCCGGCAGGAACTGTTGTGGTTCGGTGGTTTGTGACATAGTCTCCATCCCTTAAAGAGACAGGAAGGGGCTGGGATAACAGTCATAAGGATAACGACACTGTCCATGAGCCCTTTCCATGGGCCCTGTACTCTGCGGGCCACCGGACCTGCTCAGGTGTCCTACCTCTCACAGCGCCCAACAGCGGCTGTCGTCGCCTGCACGCGGTGACGGACACTGGGCTTTGGAGAAGGGCGCACACAGAACGTGGCAGCTGTGGCCTTTGAAGCCAGACCTGTGTGCTGGACCTCCTCGCCGAGGCCTGCCAATTGGGCTCCCGTCTGGCCCCGCAGCTGCGTGTCTTACAGTGTCCTTCGGGAGCTCTAGCTAAGGGATCCCCTCTGGCCCTGCCCCATAAGCCCTCCCCGGGGAACCTCCATCCTGTGCCCCGATCAGCGTGTGTGCGGGTGATATAGTGGTTTAAAACAGGCTCCGGGGCCAGACCACCTGAGGCCCCAGGCCAGCCCCACTCCTGGGCAAGTTACCCATTCTCCTCAGGCTTCAGTTTCCCCATCTGTACTAGGAAGCTCATGATAGTACTCACGGCTTCGGAGTTTTTGAGGAGTGAGTGGATGAACGCCTGTAAAACGTTAAGAACGTTACCTGGCATGCGGCAGGCTCAGGGGACACATATGTTTTCTTATATATTACTGTACCCTGACACACACACTTTTTCTTATTTCTCATAAATAGAACCACATTATCACCTTCCTCTGAACTTGCTTTGCCTCCCAGTCTGTCTTGGCAATCTTTCCAGGTTTGTACATTTAGACCCCTCTCCGTCTTTTTAAATGCCATGTGCTAGTTCATAGCACAGACATCTCATCCTTGAAGCTCAATTTTATGGACCTTTAAGGCATTTCCATTGTTTTGCCACCACAAATAAGACTGTAACCAGCATCCTTTCGTCCCTGGCGTTTGCCCCAGTCTCTCTCACAAGGGCTCGGCGAAGCAGATGCCGTGCAATCCCTGTGCCGAAGGGGGTGCACGTTCTGAATGTCAACCTACTGCCAAACCCTTGCCAACAACGTGAACCAGCTCACTGCCCCCTCCCCGGGCCGGCACGGAGACTTACCCGAGTTCAACCCTCCGCCACCAGGAGGGGTGGGCGGACAAATGGTCTCTCGTGGATCGGAGTCTGCCTAGACATTCCCACCAGCCTGCCACGAGCCTCCACTGACACTGTGTATCCCCTCACCTTTCAAACCAGTCTCCTGAACACAGTGAAGCCATAGCAACAAGTCTGGTCTGGAAAGAAGTCCTGGCGACCCAGAAGTCCTGGCAAGGCACACGGTGGCAGGGAGGAGGCGGAGATCTGTCTGAAACCCCAGTAGACACACATCAAGGCCAGGCGGTGAGCGAGCCAATAAAGTCTGCCTGGGTCTCCGCGTCTCTGGGCTGCTGGTGTTGTGACCTTCCCCCCCGGGGGCAGCACCGCCTCGTCTGAGTGACCAGCAGGGGGCGCATCCTCAGCAGCCTTGGTGGGAGCTGTGAAAACAAATTGGGAATGCGATGGGGTTATTGCTAGGCAGTGAGAGAAAAGCAGGGAATGGGAGCAGGGGAGACCAGTGCAAAACAGTGGTCATCATAGTAAACGTAAACTGTGTCCAGGAGAGGGATTTCTGAGATGCTGGAGGCAGCGGTTGAGGGAACAGATACTCATGAAACGAGATCGGGGACCTCTGGAAGCAAAATGCTGAGGGGCCACGTGGAGAGAGCCCAGGATGGGAGACGGAGACCTGGCATGTGGCCATGGCCTGGCGCTACCTAGCCACCTGATCTTGGAGCCTTACACTTCCATCTGAAAAGTAGGACAGCTGAACTAAAGGCTTCCTAATCTGTTCTGGGGAATCCATTACTCTGCATTTCTTTTCTAAAATTCCTTGGAAGCTAGGGAGAAAAGAGCTGCTTAGCATAAAAGCAGGGATAGTCAAGACCAGCCTGAGCTGCACAGGTAGGGGGATGGGTACCTTAAAGGGTTCTGATCAACCTCGCCAGTTATCTTTGTGGATGAACAAAGGCAGGGACCAAAGTATGCATTTCTGTAACACCACACAGCGCCTGGCACTTGGTAGATGCTCAGTAAAACCCACGGAACGGACAAATGCACTCACGTGGCAATTGTTTTGGGCCGGTGATGGGAAACTGGGAAAATTGGGGGCTAACCAAGAACCGATGCTTTGAGCACCGGTGGAGTGCCAGACCAGTGTCTAGGCACCCAGTTACCACCCTGGGTTCCACTTTGCGTCACCGGGGGTTGAGCTGATGCCAAGGCCTCTCTGCCCATGGGGCAGTATCGTTATTCGAAATAATTTATGCCTCCTCCCCACAGTACATTTTCCCCTTTCCCTTCCTTAATCGACGTGTTAGCCTGCGGTTGAATTTCCATTGCTTGGGTGGCATGGGAGCTCAGAGTCAAAATGAGGATAATGAAAGAAAATAAATGCAATAAGGGATTTGCGGGCTGAAGCTCACATCTACCATACTCCTCAGGGTATGTCGATGTCTTGTGCTCTGACTCCACAAATAAATCGAATCCCTTTGAAGTCAGGCTCTGTCTTTTAAGTTTATTATAATCTATAAATTTCTCCATCAAGTCTCCTGCCCATACTGAGCATCCAAAAATTGCTGGTGTCTGGTGGAACCCTGAGGATTATGAAGCCACAAAGTATCAGAATTTGAGGACTGTGGGCCACGGATCAGTAAAACAGCAAAGTTTTCTCAAGATGCTTTTAATCCATCTCTTGCATAAAAAGGAAAAGGCAGCAATCCTCTGATCAAATGTTATTTTTTGTTTGGGTAGCTTTGGGAGAATTATGGAGATATGGGGAAGCTAAAATCCACCCCTACCACCACGCACGACCTTCCAGGCCTTCCCTTGACACTGCCACCTCCACGTGGGCGGAGGATTGCCAAGCCAAAAAAACCTGCCTTGTAACCGCCTGGGCCTTCCCAAAGTGGGAGTAATTACCACGAGTGGCCACTAGGTGTCAGGTCAGCTCCAGAAGTCCTGGTGAGCACGTCTTTTCCAAATCTTACAGACTGTCCTGCGGGCTTTGCCACCCACTTTCTATGATTCCCCCATAAGACCCCCACCTGAAATCTGAGCCCCGTAGGGTCCAGCAGCATGACACTTGGGCAAACCTCTCCAAGGCTCAATGTTGTCCTTGTGAATTGAGATTTCTAACACCTATAGTTTCTCCCTTGCTGTAAGGAAGATCAGGGGCTGGTAAAAACCATAAACATTCAGTCCCCTCCCTTATTCAGCCCAGCCTGGAGCTGGGCAAGACCCAGGAGGAGACAGTGATTCACTGCGCAAGGCAGACTGCACATGGAACTCATCCTCTGACAATTGGCTTGCTAAGTCAGGAGGCTGGTGGGCAGGAGGACCCAGGCGGGAGCTGCGAGCCCAAGGTGGAGGTAGAGGAAACTTGCAGAAGTAGGAGAGGCTGGCGGGTGGAAATGGCCCAGAGGGACTGGCCCCAAAGCGGGCCCAGTCCTGCAGCCCCCGGAAACAGCACCCTGGGTGTGACCCTCCTTTCTTGCCCTAACTCAATTAGCTTTGTGTGCTCTTTGCTCCTCCCAGAGACCCTGTATAGAAGATCTGTTCTTATCCCCATTTTACAGTTGGGGAAATGGAGGCATGGAGAAGTTAAGCATCTCACTCAAGGCTGAGAATCAGACCCTAAGGATACTGCTGTGGCTCCCTGGGGTCTTAACCACTATGCTTCCTGCCCCTCTGTGGCTTCCAAGCGGCAGTTTCAGATCAAGACAGGGAAGTTGAAACGCACTTCCATTGTTTACACTCCTTCTGCAACAAAGTGAGGAATAACCAAACCCATAAGCAAGCGTGAGCTCCCGGCCAGGCTAGACTAGCCAATGGGAGGGAGGCAAAGGCAGATGGTAATGCTGTATTGCAGCGGATTTCCGAAGGTCGGGTTGATAGGTTCTCCCTGTCCCCTGCGTTGCTCAGGAATTGCACCAGGGGTCGTAGGATGGGAAAACGGAAGTGTCTGGAAAGTTCGGTGTGCCAGCATCATAAAGTGGCTAAGCACACAGATTCCGATATGTGGCATCTCTGGGTTTGAATTCTGCCTGGCTTTACCACTTGCCAGCTCCATGACTTTGAGCAAGTCCCTTAGTCCCTCTGAATCTTAATTTCCTCATCTGTGGACAGAAACAATAATGGTATCCTGCCCCACAGGATGGCTGTGAAGATTGAATGAGCTCATGTGTGTGAAACACTGAGCCCAAGGCCTAGCACACAGTTAGGACTTCTTATAAGGGTGACCTCATCACGGTGGGCGTTCCTTTCAGAGAGGAGGGATGAGAGGAGCCCTAGGTCCAGCAGGCACGGTAATGACCAAACCAAGAAGCCGTCTTTGAATTATCCAAGTACTGGGTCTTTGAAGCACCATGGAAGCATTCTAGTCTCAGGCTTTGGTTAAAGACTTGCATAAAAATCAGAAGAATTTGTTCAGAATATTTTTTTTTCAAGACTTTATTTATTTATTAGAGAGAGAGTGAGCACAAGCCGGGGGGCGCGGGGGGGGAGAGAAGCGGACTCCCCGCTAAGCAGGGAGCCTGACACAAGGCTCCATCCCAGGACCCTGAGATTGTAACCTGAGCTGAAGTCAGACTTAACCGACTGAGCCACCCAGGAGCCCCTGTCCGGAATCTTAACTGGAGGGATGCAGGGAGGACCAGGAACCAGCAGCACTGTGTGAACGGTGCAGGGGACACAGTAGACATCCAGTATTTTTCTCAGCTGCTGAGGTCTGAACCCCTCTTCCTAGGCTGAGAAGGCCTCGTCTGGGGGGTGGGGCAGCTGGGACTCCCAACAGGGACTCAGCCAGACAGCGACTATCTGAGCTGGACTCAGGAGCCGGAACCCCAGAGCACCAAGGCCCATCATAAATTCTCTCGAAGAGCTACAGCACTGCAGCCGGATGAGCCCTGGGAGCAGGCGTGACGTTGCTGGGGTCGGCGAGGACACAGAGCCCGCCTGCAGGTCAGCCGTGGGAGCGGCAGCCCCGGCTGTGCACTGTGCAGCCGTGGCGACAGCTGCCGTGTCCTCGGGGGACCGGGCAGCCTTGCCAAGAGGGGGCTTGGGTTTGGTTTTGTTTTGATGGGTTTTGTGTTCAACAAAATCAAACAATGAGTGGCAAGGCCAGCCTGCATCCTAAACACTGGCTGCAGTGGCCTTGAACTACAGGAAGGGAACGTTTCTCCTTCAGGAAGCAGCCGTCCTGGAGGGGGAGGGACGCCAGGGCCCAGGAGGCCCACCTTGAGGCCCAGGGGTTTGCCTCTTAAGGAGGGTTGGTGGCGTGGCCCTTGGAGGGCTCCTTTGGCTGCTCTGCCCCCACCTTAGGGAGTCTTGGGGGAGCCAGAGTGGGGTTGACGAGCGGGTGCCGCGGTGGCCAGGATGAAGAAGATGTAAGTCTTGTGAGGGTGTACACGTGTTGTGGTATCATCGAGAACGTATGGGGTCTTTCTCCCAGTTCCTGCTACCCACTTTAAAAACCCATGGAGGGCAGTTGTGGGACGCAGGGGGTTAAGCGTCCAACTCTTGGTTTCGGCTCAGGCTGTGTTCTCAGGAGTCATGATCCAGCCCCGTGTCTAGCTCTGCGCTCAGCCCAGAATCTGCTTGAGACTCTCTCCCTTTGTCCGTCCCCCTTTCTCTTTCTCTAAAACAAATATATATATATATATATATATATATATACACACACACACACACACATATGTATACAAACACCTCCTGGAATTTCCTGAGTGGCAGGAGTGTCTTTGTTACGCCGATGAGGCAACCCAGGGTGGGCCCCCTAGACAGCTTCGGGAGGCTGGTAGCCTGATCCACCAAGCTGGGAACAGAGGTTGGGACTTTCAGCAGATGGGAGAGGAGGTTAGAGATTGAGTTCAATGACACGGGCAGTGTTCAGTCATTCCTACCTAATGAAACTCCAGTGAGAACTGTGGACAGTGAGGCTCAGAGGAGCTTCCTAGGAAGGGACGCTTTGCCTGCCTTTTAGATCTTGCCTTAGACACATCTTCACGTGCCAGCCGCTGAGCCACAGCTTTCATAATAAAACTGTAATCTGAACTATGGTGCTTTCAGTGAGTTCTGTGAGTTGTTCCAGGGAATTATCCAACCTGAGGGGGTCCTGGGACACCCCCACGTTGTAGCTGGCGGATCAGAAGTGCAGCTCTCCTGGGGAGCCCCCTTGCAGCTGGCATCCGAAGTAGTCTGGGGGACCAAGCCTGTGGAGTCCCACGCTCAGTCCGGTAGTGCTGCCCCAGCCCCAGGTGTGATGGACATGGAAACTGTGTACATGAATGAATGATCGTGTCTGAATTACAGAGACAATGTGTGTGCTCAAATATGTGCATGACCGACAAGAGGGTGTCTGTGCCCAACAAGAGGGCTTACCTCCGTCCTGACCAGGTTGTGTACTAACCAACCTGCTTTGTTGCCAGCATCCTTATGACTAAAACTCAACTCACAGCCACTCCCAGCTTGTACCGCTCCTGGCCGTACCTCT